AGGTTTGGTGGGGGCTTCTTTTCCTGGCACCAGTGCTGTGGGTGAGGAACCCTGGTGTGGACTGAGGATGATGCTCCTCCAGGAGGACCTCTGTGACTGAGATACACCTCCCTGTTGTCAATAGCCAGACGCAGGTTTTGGGCCAGCTGGATCTGCATCTCTGACCTTCCTTCCAATCTCGATGTGTCTTCTTTTTATCCTTAGTTTTAAAACTTCTATTCAGCTGGCTTCAGGTGGTTCTCCAGGTTGGTTGGTTGATAATTGAGTTGTAACTTTAATGTCATTACTGTAGGAGGAAAGCATAGCATTTATCTATTCCACCATCTTGGATGTTCTTAAAATTATTTTTCTATCTTTTTTCCTTACAACCACTGGTACCCTGAGTAATGTAAGATGTGATTACCTCTAACTTATCATCTAAAAAGGGTTATTATGAGATTAATTACAATAAATGAATAAGCCCTTAGTACAGTATTCAACAAATGGTAAGTCTTTAAGACTTAAGTAAATGTCAATTTGCAGAGCAATTATTTTTTTGTTTACTATTATTTGTATTACTACTATTGGTAGTAGTAGTAGTTGTAGTAGTAGTATTTTCTTGAATGTGAACTTCTTTTCCCTCCAGTTCTCTATTTTTAAAAACACTTTTCACAGTATTTGTCAGAGAAAGGAATCAAAGACCATGCAGTGAACATTTCTTTGCAATGCTGGACTAGAAATCCCATTTTTAGATTAATTGATGTTTTGGTGTTTTAAAGTTGTTTAAAAACTAGTTTCAAGTGTACAAGACAATGTAATTATTAGACATTTATACCATTCACTAATTGATAACCCCTCCCAGGCTGCTACCCCTCTGACATCATATATAGCTGTTACTATATCATTGATTATATTTCCTATGTTCTACATTACATCCTGTGAACATATATATATATATATATTTAATTATAGTTGACATTCAATATTAAATATTATTCTACCTCAGCTTCAAGTGTACAGTGCAGTCATCAGGGAATTTACACAATCTATGAAGGGCTCACCTTGAAAAGTCCAGTACCATCTGGCACCCTACATAATATATGCACTATTGATTATTTCCCCATATGAGGTTTGGGGTTTTGTGTCATCAAGAAAGGAAGGTTTTGAAGTACTAAAGTCTCCTGTAGTCCTTTACCCAGGAATCTTGAAGATCTTTCCCCCTAATAGACCCTGCACAGATGAACAAACCACGGGGAGACTGCAGCTGCTGGAACCATCTATCCTTATCACATAAGCAGCCTGGGAGGATGGTTTATGTTCATGGCTTATCACTGTGGGAGGAGCTGTATAATCCTGCTGGCAGTAATAAGTGGCGGCATCATCAGCCTCTACCTTGCTGATTGTGAGAATAAATTCTGTCCCTGACTGAATTCCAGTGAACCTATCTGAGACACCAGAAAATCGGTCATCAGCATCATAGATGAGAGGCTTAGGAGCCTGGCCTGGTTTCTGCTGATATCAGCTTAGGTAATCACTAATGCTCTGATTGGCCCTGCAAATGATGGATGCACTCTCTCTTAGGGACACAGAGAGGAGGACTGGGAGACTGAGTCAACATAGTGTTCCCGCTGGCAGCTGAAAAGGAAGCAAAATACAAAGTCACCATGGTTAACTGGACCCCCCTTTATTTTCCTTCCAGATGATTCTAACTGCCCTGTTTCTCTAGTCTGAGAGATCTTGTATGTCTAAGACGAACATGAGTCAGAGACTCACAGAGAACCTGGAAAGACCTCAGAGTTAGGAAGGGAGAATTTCCATCATATCAGGGATGTTCCCTGTGTTCCTCTCCTCACCTTGGAGCCAGATGAGCAGAAGGCAGAAGAGTTGAATCAGGACACCCATGTTCAATCCAGGCCATGCCTGAGGCTCTTTTTTTTACCCAGAATCACTGAGAAGCCTTTTTCATGAGGAGTTTGAAGACCAGAAATGGACGCCAGGGAAAAGATGCAAATCGTTGAGACACTGGGCAGGCCTGGGCTTGCAGCTGTAGAGCCAGTGCTTCTGTAGGTCTCAGTTCCTCCTCAGTGTTCATGTCAGATATCAGCTTCAGATTCAGTTCCAGAGGAGCATTTCCCCAGGGTTTGTAGGATAAAACTGGCTCTATATTTATGGTTCTTATTTGTCCTCAGGGTATAAGAGCTTGTAATGAAAATAGTGGGTCTCCCTTTAAAAATAAGGGAAGAAAAAAAGTTAGAAGACTCTCCAAGACTTAAAATTTAAGATGAACATATAGATGTCCCTGTGACTTATGTGAAATACCATGCTTTAGACATAGGGATAAAATATTGGTTTTATAGTAATATGTTTCTTAGAATAGAGGTTATGTGCTATGGACAGATGGAAGTAGCTAGTGTCTTTGAAGCAAATGTATGCCAGGCTTATTTGGGACCTGTGTAGCTTATTGGAGTGTTTTCACAGCCAGTTTATTCTTTGCTTCAGAAGTTTAGTATTTTAAATGTTAAGTTTTCTCATTGTCAATATTAACTTTTCCTCATTTCTCTCTTTTTCTCTCATTGTGTTGTCATATCTGAGAGTTATTCTACCTTCTTTTTTTCTGATACAGTTCCATTGTTGTTATTAATGGCATCAACTGTTTATTCTCACTAGTGACCCACGCAGGGTGAAAAGTTGTATGGTTGCCCTGTATTCTGACTCTATTCCTAGTATACTAAGCCATTTCTTAATTGAAAATGAGTCATGTATGTAAATTTTGATCATATATATTTATATCATCTGAGGAGAAGTGTGAAAAGATAAAATGGAGTCATTATGGTAAAGCTGCTAAATTATTAAAGTCAAGTAGGCTGAGGTATAAGGAAACAATTCTATTCTTGCTTTAAGAAGCCTAAGAACTTAAACTTTTGAAATTTCAGTTGTGTGCCAGTATTTGGATGTAACTAAATTTTATAGCTAAGACTTTGAAGGGCTTGAGAAAGAATGCTCATGTGCTGGAGATGTACTCATTTATACTCCTTTAAGAAAATCACTTGTCACATTTGAAAAAGAATGATTCATTATTTAGACCACCTGTTATTCATTATCCAACCCCTGGGTGTCTGGAAGATTATCATCCTCAGCTGGTCTGTGGTCTAACAATGCAAAATTCATTGTTTTCCTCAATAATGTCATTTTTACTCTGATAACTCTTAGCTTTTCTTTCTTTTGCAGATCCTGGGTATTTCCTAGTTGTCTTTTCTGTTTGCAAATCTCTAAGGGCCTTGATTAAATCTTTGCCATTTATTTCTAGCCAAAGCCTCTTGATTCTTTTGTGCTTTATCGACACATCTATCAATATGATTGAAAATGGTAAGGGGGGAGGTGGGGTAGTAGATGAGGGTAAAAGGGATCAACGATATGGTGATGGAAGGAAAACTGACTCTGGGTGGTGAATACACAATGTGATATATAGATGATGTATTACAGAATTGTGCACTTGAAACCTATGTAGCTTTACTAACTTCTGTCACCCCAATAAACTTTAATCAAAATTAAAAGAAAGAAGATGTTTAACCTGAAGCTGGGTATTAGCATCACCATGATTATATGTACAATACTTTACAGCTTATCTTAGAAGGCAGTTCATGTGGGAAGCATCTTAATTATAAATCTCCTTCAACATTGAGTACCAGAAGTTGTAATTTTTATTTGTGTTCTGGATTTTAAAATCTGTGGATTTTTTTTATTATTGGGGGGGTAAGGAAAGGTCTGTTTTAATCATTTTCCTCTTATACAATCTTAAAGTATGTTAATTTTGTGTTAACTTAAAAGTTAAGTTGAATGTGTTTTCAACATGTGGATTCCAATCAAGTTGCTTAAATGGAAATGGGAAAAACATATGCATTTCACTGAGGTAATGTCCTCTAAAACAGAGCATCTTAAACCTTATACATATCTCCAGATATCTGTTAAAATGAAGACCCTCAAAAGTAGGTGTAAGGTAAAACTTACTGTTTTGCATTTGTAATAAGCGCCCAGAGATGTCACTGACACCCTGGATCCAAAGGATGTTTTCACACAGAAGAGAAAGAATGTTTGACTCACATTAAGTTTTGATTTGTTAATTAAAAACAGCTTTCATTCTTTGTCAAATTATTTCTCTATATGTAAAACATTTCCCTCATTTTTTTCTATTTTCTCAATTATTTCACAAAGATTTCTTGTTATAAATCCAGACTTGATGATGATGGTTGGAAGCATATCTAACTGTATTGTAACTGGCAAAGTTCTGAGAGATGTAAAAAGAATGACCATCCAGGCTGCCTGCTGTCAGTTCCCCATCATCACTCTCCCTTGTGGAAGCACATTTCTCCTAACTCCTTTGCCCTCGATGGTTTCCCATAGAGTTGCTCTGTAAGGGGCCCTCCCTGAGATTTGGAGTCAGAAGAGGCGGTTTCAATACTATCCATCAGTTCCTGCAGGCAGAGTGGAGGACTGGGGAATCACTGGTGAGCTGAGAGCATCAGCTCCCTCACTACTGGGCTTCCCGAAAGGTCTGGGGAAAACATGGATAGACAGCCTCTGTCTATTTTCTCTTGTTTCTAGGGGAGCAGCAGGGAATTTCACGTTTCCTCTATCTGCTTCCACTGTTATTAATTCTCTAGGCCTTTGAAACAATGTATTTTAGAAATTAATTCCCTATATTAAGTAACTCCTGTGTGGAATGCCTAGAGTGGCTTCTCTTTTGCTTTATTAATTCTGATGGATACTGTAGCCCAAACAACTCCTGTGTGATGATCTCTGTTCTTTATGAAATCATGATATGCATCGTATGTGCTACTGAGGCTGAGGAGAGACAAAGAAAGTTGGAGTGTAAAGTAGCCTTTCTGGCTACTTCTAGCAAAACCTCCAGTCACCATCAAAGAGTGGGTGCATCTGACAAATGCTCTCACCTGATACAGGCCCAAGAAGAGCAGCTGGGGCTGCCGACTCTCAGCTTTCTGCTTCGTGGTTTATGTTCAGGCTTATGACACTGTGGGAGGGGTACTATAATCCTGTTGACAGTAATAAATTGCATAATCTTCAGGCTGCAGGTTGCTGATGGTGAGAGTGAAATCTGTCCCAGATCCTTGGCCACTGAACCTCGAAGGGACACCGGTGTGCAAATTGGACACATGATAGATCAGGAGCTTAGGAGCTGTCCCTGGTTTCTGCTGATACCAGTCTAACTCAGTGCCAATGCTCTGACTGGCTCGGCAAGTGATGTTGACTCTGTCTCCCACTGAAGCAGACAGAGAGGATGGAGACTGGGTCATCTGGATATCACATCTGGCTCCTGTGAATGGAAACATGAAAACAAACATCCATACTCTTAATGATGCTACCAGGTCTCTTAACTACCCTGCAGTCTAAGTGTTACTCACCACATTGGCAGAGTAAATCCCCAGAGTTTTTCTTCCTTACCTGGGAGCCACAGCAGGAGGAGGCTGAGGAGCTGAGTTGGGACCCTCATGTCCATGCTCTGTCCTGCCTGGGACTGATTCCTTCACAGGGTGTGACCACACTATTAATGTGTCCAGGGCTGTGGGTTGCACCCCAGTCACATGCAAATAAGCAGGGGCTGAGGCTGGTTGGGCACAGCTGCACGGATGCCTGGTCTCAATAGCACAGCACAGTCACTGTCTGCCAGGTGCCCAAGCCCAACCAGGGCAGCACAAATTTGCCTGCAATAAATGTGTTTCTCTTTGGCAGTCACAAGAATCGTTCTACTGTCCTATGAGTATATTGTTCTTGCTGTGTTCAAATTTTAGGACATGCTTTTCCTGCTATTTCTCTATCTAATACTGGGTCTTTTGAGTATGAAAAAACCCTAGTACTTTCAAGAAATTATGACAGCTCTTTGCATAGGTACCTGTGCTACCTGTTGAGTACAAGGAGACTTCCTTTTGGGTTCAATTCTTAAAACCTTTGGTATGGTAAATTAACCCTATTTCCAGACAGAGATGCATTGAGGTATAAGAATAAATAACTAATTAAGTGTGAGTGTCATGATTTGTAAGGAAGTGCTCAGCGACTGAGTGTTGTGTTTGCTAACCTGTCATCTCTAGCTTAGTGACCTGTCCCCTTCCATTTCCAAGTGCTTTCACACACCATTGCATCTAGGCCAGCCATAGTCAGGGTGTTTCTCTTCCACATGTGAAATGTGTCAGCCACCTTTCTTTTCTGCAGGTCTTTCC